GGAGAAAAGCCACTGGTGGGTTTGACGCGTGGGCAGGAGCCGTGCAGACGCCCTTCCTGTCCCCAGGGTAAGGGCTTGCTCCCTCCCTGCTGAAGCCAAACGTGCCGGGGGGGTCCCAGCCGGGGGTCCCCCCCACACCTTGGCGCCGGATGGGGTGCACGAGCCGCCAGATGACATCCCCTGAAGCTGGAGGGACACAGAGCTGCTGCCACCGGGGCCGAGGCGTCGGGAGGACGAGGTCTGCATCCCGACGAGGCGAAAGGAGAAAAACCTCACGTGCATTAAAGGCGTTGAAAGCCCCGAGCCGCGTCGCAGCATGGTCTCCCTCGCGCCGGTCTCCGTCGCGCCGCTGGGGTTTGAACAGGATTTTGCCCCTTTTTCTTGCAGGACACCCCAAATTCCTGAGAGACCCGGTGTCGAGGGTGCGTTCCCTTCCCAACGGGTCAAGGTGTTATTTCGCCAGCCCTCTCCTTCCCCACGGTGAGAGGTGCCCCAAGGGGTCCCAGCCCCAGAAGGGACAATGTCCTGTCCCTTTTGGGCTCGGGGTGGGGGGTGGGGGGGCAGGAGCAGCCCCCCAGCGTGGGGACGGGTACGTCTCAGCTCACCCTCGCTCCTTCTTTCTCTCCTCATTTCCACCCCAGACTGGAGAATTGGGTCTGGCCCCACTTTGCCGCTCCACGGGGGTCCCCGGGGGTCTCCCTGATGGGGGGATGGGTGGGACAGGTTGTGCAAAGAGGGATACGGGAGGGACAAACACCCAGCCAACACCACCAGCTCCCAGTGCACCGACTGGTTGCTCCAGCCCCGGCTGGTCCTGAGCCTCACCCCCGCCCCGCAGCCCCCATTTTTCTGCCTTTAAGTCAAATTTCAAGGCAAAACCAGAGCCTGGAGACCAGCAGCTCCGGGAGCAGACAGGGGACGATGAACAGTGTCACCGCAGAGGTTGGTGACTCCGGTTGCTGGGGATGCCAGCACCGCGGAGCCGGTGCCAGGTCCGGCCGTGGCTGCCGGGGCTCGGTGCCCTCCCCGGGGAGGGCTGTGGGGTCCCACCGGTGGTTTTGGTGATGGGTTAAACCCAGCGTGGGTGACGTGGGGACGGGCTGGCTCTCCCGCGGATGCAGTAGAAGGATGTCCTCGCCGAAATCCTCCGGACCCCCCCAGCACGCGCTCGCCCGCCACCGCCAGCGACCCAGACGCCCAAATATTGAGCTATACATTAAATTACCCCGGGGAAAGGGCTGGGAGGGAGCCGGAGCACGTCGGAGGGAGCGTGGCAGTTTGTTATGCTAACCGAGGGGGGCTCCGCTCAGGGGACGTGTCGGAGAGGTCTGAAGAGCAAGGAGTTCACAGGCCCTCTCCTTTTGTCATGCTAAAAGTGCAACACAGAAAATATATACAGGCAGCTGCTCAATGGAGCGTGAAATACAAGTGATTTCTCCCGGAGCCCTGGGTAATGCGATGCGGCCCGGACAATGCCCGCCGCCGCCGCCGTCTTTGTGCAAAATGGGAAACTTCTGCGGGGGGAACGGGCACAGACCGGCTCCAGGTCCGCCAGCTGCCCCCGGCACCGTCCGGAGGCGGAAAGTCCCTGAGCCCGTCCCCGGTCACGCTGCCCATGGGGTGCCCCGGCTGCAGGACCGGCAGGAGAGACCAGTTGTCCAGGGATCGGCGCCCCCCCCCCCGGCCGCGCCGCGGGC